CTGCTCTTGTTTGGCTGTTTTTGATTGCTGTCTTCTTGTTTTTACTTTTTAAAATCTTGTCCAGTGTTTCAATAGAGACCCACTTTTTATGATGATGCTTTTTGAGACCTAGAACCTCCTGACACATTGAAGTGACTACTTCCCCGATTCCTTTCCAATTGTCGTCCATAGCAGTTTCTTCTTCTTTCAGTAGATCCTGTAAGGCTTGGAACCTTTTGTTGAGAGTTGTATTGAATTGGTTGAGTTTGTGAATATGTTGAAAGAAGTCTGTATTGAACCTTTGTAATTCTGTTCCCCCAGTTGTTCAGTGTTTTTTTAACTTCCGTTTTACCTTGGCCACAAGCAACTAGTGATCTGAAGCCATATCATCTCCTGAAACTTTTAGTGATACAAGTACGATCAATTTTGTACTCTGTAGTGTGTTTTGGTGAGACCTATCTATAACCGTTTTTTTAAAGGTAAATAAATTTACAAATCTGTCACCATTCTCTTTCCTTTCACCTAGTTCGTTCGTTAACTTGAAATAATATATGCACGTCAGATTGGTTCAGCACATTGCTAGGTTAGTATAATGACAACATATTAATTGGAAACAATCAATCAACTAATAATACTAATTAATATGTAAACTGAACTAAAATGAACTCTTATGTTGCTGTGACTAGATAAAAGATAACAGAGTGAATAGGAATAGTTAGCGTCAAAAGATAAAACGTTCTCAGCTTCTGATTATATATATTAATTGTTTGAATCTTTCTATTAATATTTAGGACTATGATTGTTCAGTGTCTTCATGACATATATGCATCATGTGCGGGTTGCTATGAGATTGCCAGATAGAATATCAACTCTACGATCCAAGAAGATCCATCTGATGATTCTTGAATGGAAAGAAACGTGAGTCTTAAATTTCACTACTAGTTATCATTCATCTCTGCATTTAAATAAATATTTCATTTTCATGGCCTTAGAATACAAAAATATGATATATGTAATTTCTTCGCCTATTTGGCACTATTTAATCATTAATTATTCAGTTCATTTAGTGGAACTAGTGTTTTGTTTGCAATCTCTGACGTTCGTCAAGCGTCACTGTACTTGAACTGATTAATAAGGATATAATAAAATTGTCAACCGTTTTCCACAATAGTTCTTACATGGTTGGTATGTTTACAAATACTGACCTGAAAATGATACCATAAAAATATCTGATCTCTATTATGTGAGGATGATCCACAGGTGAACTCGAAGAAACTGTAAGAAGCTTAAAAAGTGCCAAAGATATTTCATCCAATCACCTTTCGAAATATTCTAAAATCTCTGAGTGTAGCTTCCCGATTGAACAATGCTAATAAGTCCCTGTGTGAGGATTGGATAGCCATAATGATGATTTCTTTTTTACTAAAAACTATAAATACTTGACAATTTTGTACTATAATTGACACTGTCTGGAATAACATTCCTTTCACTTGTCTTCTGTTTTTACATTTGCGACTTAGAAAGGTTCCAGCGTTCATGCATATCAAGAATATAAGCTGCAGATGTAACAACTTGCGACGAGGATGGGATTCGAATCCGAGGAGGGAAACCCCGATGGATTAACTCGAGATATAACATATTGAAATTTAACCTAAATATCACAAATCAGTCATTTTTATGATTCACTATCGTTATTTATTACATGAACATTTTCCTTTTAATATTAATTCTTTACATTATCACTTTAGGTGTTGTGGAGATTGTCAAGTTTTTGATTCGGATCATGAACCAATTGATGTTAGAACACCAGTGAAAACCTGGAAGCACTGGGCGGCCGTTTCGTTCTATTGTGAGACTCCTCAGCAGTGCGCATCCACAATCGGGCTCGCGGGATTCAAACGCAGGGCCTTCAATTTCGCGCGTGAACGCTTAACATACTGGACCACTGAGCTGGCATCCAACGGTGTTAATGTCTAACTTCAACCAATCCACGGAGTTGTGCGACCATCTTCCATTGTACTGAGGTAGACACCTGTTTCTACCCGACACGGATTAGCTCCACTGGTCACGACTTCTCACCAGAATGCGCACTGCTTAGGAGTCCTACAATAGGACGAAACGGCCGTCTAGTGCTTCCAGGTTTTTAATGGTGATCTAACATCAATCAGTTCATGATCTCAATCAATTCTTTACATCTCAACTAAATGATGATACAAATACTTCCGCATTTTTCACGATCGTATTCACTTTCAATAGTAGTTATTTACATACGCCTGTAACTCCTCGTGCAGCAGCATCGACCTCCCACCAGCACTCTCTATCCAACCTGATCCTGGGCAATCTTTTCTAGTTGTTAATCATCCTTTTCATATCTGCTTTCATTTCCTGACGGAATGCATTCTTCGGCCTTCCTCATTCTCACTTCCCTTCAGGATTCCAAGTTAGGGCTTGCCTAGTGATGCAGTATGATGACTCCCGTAATGTATATCCTATCCCCTTACAACGTCTTTTTCTAATTTCCTCTTTAGCTGAAAGCTACTTTGTTGTCATCTACAGAAGGCTGTGGGTAATAAGTTCATTACTGACTGTATAGAGCATGTGTTTTTTTTAATGCATATCCTATCAGCATCCTTAATATTTTGCCTAAAAGGAATTCAAAGTTAGCTAACAGTTCAATGATTGCACATGTCATACACATAATTCCCTTTATCATTTTGAAAAGAGAAAGAACAAAGATTCTAGGAGAATAGCATGAATTTGTTTTAATTGGTTGTTTTTCGTCAATTGATTATAACCTGTGATATTTAAAATCGTAATTACTGTAAATATATACTTTATGTAAAAAAAATTCCACAACATTGATTGTGACAACAGTTTAAACGGCCAGAAACAACTGATTGCGCAATGATATCTTCATATTCGGTGTTGTCCACTCTAACCTTGGCATTTAGGTCTCCCATTAGAATGGTCAAGTCGTTTATTGAGCATTTCTCGACGATTGACTACAGCCTACCGTAGAATTGGTCTTTAACTTCTTCATTGTAGTCGTTGGTAGGCGCATAGCATTAGATGACTTTCATCGAAATGCCCTCTTTCTTTGTTTTGAAGCAGCCTTTGATGTTCCTTGGTACATGAGATTCCCATCCTATAAGTGCATTTTGTGCTTGTTTGGACAGCATCAACGCTAATCCTTGTGTATGTGTATCATTTTCTTCTTCGTGGCCAGAGTATAACAGCAGCTCTCCTGAAGCCAGTTGTGTTCAAACTTGCGTCCAATGTGTTTCACTGATCCCAAGTACCTCCAGATTGTATCTCCTCATTTCTGAAGCAATTTGGAAAACTCTCCCAGTCTCCCACATTGTACGAGCATTCCATGTATCTAAATAAATGGTTGCTCTGGTTGTCAGAAGGAGCTTTGGCCTGGTGGCTTCCGAAGGAACTCGGCTTTCACCACGAGGCGTCATAACTCTTCTAAATGAAGACCTTCTAACTCCCAGAGCACAGTTTAAGTAGTTTAAATAATTTTTTCTGGATAGCGTTTTTTTAGCGAGTTACTTTTCTACGAGATGAGGTCGCTAACCCCATGCCAAACCCTCCTCCCTTATCCAGGCTTGCGACCGGAGGTAGCCCTAGAGGGGCTCTGGGCACATTGCAACAACCACTTGTCACACACAAGTGAGTGACAAGTACTTATTTGTTTAAATAAAGGTTATCTTGATTTCTCATTCTTACGTTTTCGGGGACTAAATTGGATCACTTTTTATCGAGAAAAAGGCTTCTTGATGAGTTTTGCCCTGGAAAATTAATATATGATGAGTTGACTTTTAGAAGCTCACAAATGCCCTAATACGGTCAAGAGTGGAGAGAGTCAGCTCCCCCTCTTCAAATGCTCTCAAATGACCATGTGTTTACAGCCACTACCAAGGAAGTCCTACTCACTGCCTTCTCATGGAGGGCTTGTTGTTTACGAAATTGAAAGCAATAAAAGTAAATATCAGGCGCTTTAACCGTTTTGGTGGATACGGAGAATCCATCTAGAAGAGTTGGAAAACCCTGATTTCAAACCAATGGTGCACATGAGCTCCAGTATTTTGAACCTATTGTTTGTGACCGGCTACCATAAGACTGCATCTCTAGACATTGATCCACTACTTTATGGATTAGACCTTTAGGTCGAAGGTTTCGAGTGTGTCCCCCCAAGAAGACCACCTACTTCGGTTTAGGCATTCGGGCAGTATTATAGCCCACACACAAAGCAAGTAACTTATGTGGCACATATATATTCTGTACTCCCTTTTGCCAAAATTTTGTAATCATGTAATCGTGTAATGTAATTTGTGTACAGCCAAAGTATCAACAGTAGTAAAATGGTTATTTTCTTTTCATCTGACACTAATTTAAAAAAAAACAAAATACATAATATTAAATAAATAAACCAAAAATCATAGAAAATCTTCAATATATACTACTTATTTCAATATTATTAATATGAATACATCTTTGTATAAGCATTTACTTTGTGTACTATATAAGATGTAAACATATAAGATAGTTATTGTGTATGAAAATTACATTAGAAATAATCACAGCAATTGAAATTTAAAATAATTCCAACGTTTCGTCCAGTTAACTTGTCTGGACTTCTTCAGGGTAAAATAATCAAAATCATATAAGATAATTGTTTGTTTGTGATTTGGGCATTTGTATACATCTAATTAATAATGATAGTATGGAACCAAATGAAGTGAATATAACTGAAATTACAACAGAACTGGATAGCGTCTTCTTATATATATGTATATATACTTGGAATTAACTAAACTTCCAAGAAGATATGTATGTATAAGATATCTATGCTGATTTGTAATTGAAATGTAACATCAAACATGTATACTAAGAAAATAATTAGTAGTAAACAGTAGTATATAAATATATATATATAATATCTCCATTAGATTTATATATGTATATGTGTGTGTGCGTTTGAATTTGGTGCCATTCGTGATTATTTTCTTCATAAATCAAGATGAATTATCTGTGAAATCAGTTAAGAGATGAAATAACAATGAGAATTTATCATTGAAATATTGTATTAGGCGAAATTTATAGTTAAAAGAACAAATAGAGTGAAGAAATTTCTTCTTCAGTTAGTTTCTCATTATGGCTCTGTACTATACTTTACTATACTATGAAGCAAAATACTGACTAGTATTGGGGATGGTTGTAAGAAAGTTAGGGCCATCCAAACCAAAACATTTCATCAGTGCTTAAAAGCACTAACGTCTTGTCTGAGCCATGCTAGTAGATGAAGATTACTTGGGTGGGGTCCGAGTGACTATCGTAACCAATAGTTAGAGACTCTAAGTTACATGACTCAGGATTGACCACACTGGCTTAGATGCTTACACTCTGTCTTTGCTAAAACGTGATATTAAAATTGATTTATAAATTTCTTTCATTGAACTAATTATTGCTTCATGTATTATATCTTCATGTGCAATCTTTCTTTTATAAATTACTACCATTGAAGTAACTACTTCTATGAAGTTGATGTCCATCTTGTTGCGCTAATGCGGTATGGCAACTTGGACCGATGCATATATGTAACTGGTCCTATGTTGTAGCTTACTAATTGATATATATATATATATATATATATATATATATATATGCGTATTATATAGAAGTAGGGACTAACAGAATATTTTGATGAAAGGTCAGTATCATTGTAGTTATGTAGGAATCTAGAGACGAATGTTGAGAATATGTAAAAATACAAAAGTGGAAGAAATTGGAAAATAGTTTAAATATTTTTGAAGGAAAGGGTTACAAAAAAGTTCAGCTACAAATTCATTCCTATACCGATTGACAAAATGGCGAGAATGGTTGTACAAATCTATTTCGGATGTAAACGTTTGCTTTAGGAATATGGATTCTGATCGCTTCAGTGATCTGCAACAGACGAACTCGTAAACCATGTGGCACATTTGATGAAATATGGTGGATAACCTTAAAAGCTTTATTCAAGTTAACATGATGACCTGTATCCACAACGTCAGTGGGAATAGAACTCTTAACCATTCTTATCTGTTCTTTGCTCAACCAAAACGGACGGTGCTGTGCTATGAGTTCTCTTTATTGATTCTTTTTACTATATATTAAAATAGAAATTTTCATCATACTGAAGTTTTCATTATCATTTATTCTAATCAATTACTAGAGGATTCTAGTAATATTTTCATTAGTTCTCGAATCGTCCGCGACAAAGTTGAGGGTTTTTTGAAGGAAAGTAACTTTCATTGTTAACTGAAAAGAATTTTTCACTTGTCATAGGAAAGACAGGTCCTCATATGATTATTTGTAGATGAAGTTATAATAAGTTAGTTGGTCAGTGAAAAGAAACATTAAACTTTATAAAAAAACTTACTTATCTTCTCAAGTTGCTGCACCTCGTCAGCGTAAGACAAGTTCCATGGTATTACAAGTAGTAGCAGTGTTGATTATTGTAAAGTTCAAATATGGACAGTAAAGTTGTACAAGACAGAACAAATGTGCAGAGTAAAACGTACAGAATAATTTTAAAGGATAAGATTTACAAGAAGATAACAAGTGACTGAATCTGAGCCGTTGCAGCTGATTTTAAGATATCCCACCCAAATTATATAACCGTTCACCACGATAGTCTTGTGCATCCCAATTAGGTAATGTGATTCAACCAATATGACTTAGACTTGTAGTATCTGATTTAATGAACTTATGTCACTACGTTGTTTGACCACTTATAGCTTTCTTTCGGCCTAAAATTACAGTCAGTCAGTCAGAAAAAACGTGGAACTTCGTACGTACGTACATCAGTTCGAGTTGCCATACCACATTAGCACAGAGATTTAGTTATCGATTCAAATCCCTTAGTGTTAGAGTAGTGAAAGTAGAAGTAGTGACAGGAAACATTAAGGTTTGATGATGTTATTTAAGGAGTATAGTCCAGTGGAATATATTTGAAAAGAAAATAAAGGACATTGAGAATTCAGAAGATAAGAGTTTGAGAGAACACAAAGAGTGGATGCACCCGCGCCATTGCAAACGATTTTCAGTCATATCATTCAAGGTCTCTAACCATCGGTTGCTATCATCTCGCGGTCCCCAACCAGGTAGTCTACACCTACCAACATGACTCAGTCCACTTGTCAGTGACTTCATGGATTTGTGTCATGTTTTGGTCTGGCCGCTCCTAGCTTTCTTCCAAACTATTCCGGCGCCATAAAACATCGCAACATTTTGCATTTCAAGGGAGAAAATTGCACCCCGAACATGCCTGCATTGTTGCTTAGAGTGGTCAGCAGACTCTGCATTTTGTCAGTTTCTTCACCAAATAGAACTATGTCATCGGCATATTCTAAGTCAACAAGTGAATCTCCCGGTAAAAGTTCAACTCCCGGAAATTTAGATGAGGAAAGTGTTATTTCTAAAAGCACGTCAACAACAAAGTTAAACAGGAATGGAGAGAGTGGACAGCCCTGACGAACACCACTTGAGGTTCTGATGACAGTTCGCCATAAGCTCTCACTCGACCAGTTGTGTTCGAGTAGAGAGCCTTTATAAGGTTGATGTACTTTTTTGGTACTCCTTTCAGTGACAAACACTGCCATAGAACCTCACGATCAACAGTCAAATGCCGCCTTAAGGTCGAGAAATACTACCATTGTGGGGCGTCTGAATGTGTGTCTATGTTCTAGAACCTGACGTAGTGTGAATATCTGGTCCATACAACCACGTCCAGGTCGAAAACCAGCCTGGTTTTCTCTAGTCTGCTCTTCAAGAGCTTTGGTTAGACGTCAAAGTATTATTGAAGCTAATATTTTAGACACTATATTAGTCAAACTAATTCCTCTGTGATTGTCACAGGAGGACTTTTGTCCTTTCTTATAGACTGGCACAATCAGTGATTGAGACCAGTCAGATGGGATTACGTCCAGTTCCCAGATTCTACCTAAGACCTCAGTCAAACTCGCTGCTAAAACTGGACCGCCATCCTTAGAAATCTCAGGGGTAAACCTGTCAGGGCCTACTGCTCTCCCACGCTTCAGATTTCCTATAGCTTTTTCAACTTCGTAAAGAGTCGGAGGACTTACATTAACTTTCCATTCAGGTAGATTGCAGATCGTGAGAAACCGAAGTGTGGCTGAAGGACAGTTGAACTGATCCCTAAAGTGTTCCGCCCATCGATTCAATCTCCTGGATTGAGAACGAATAATATGTTCATCTTTCTCTGAGATTTTTTCGCTAACAGTTGGGTTCCTAATACCGGTTTCCTTAACAAGTGTGAACAATTGCCTGTTGTTGCCTATTGCCGCTGCCTTTTCCATCTCTCTTGCTTTTGCTACCCACCATTCTTCACGATCTTTGCGTGGGCTTCTGGTCAGCTTACGCTTAAGCTGACTCCGCTCTTCGTTATGTTCAGAGCCAGATGGAATGAGTTTCCGTGCATCTATCAGTGCGGTAGACGCTGCTGAGATCCAGTGTTTCTCCCTAACCTTATGATTTACCGTACTTGCAGACATCACTGCTGTTTTTACAGCTTTTCGGATGTCATTCAACGCTGCCTCGGAGTGGGCATCACTTACATGGCTGCCTAACTGTTTTTCTATTTGTTCCTGAAATATACTCTTAGTTTGACTATCATTAAGTAGGACCCTAAGGGGTTTCCTTGTACCATCTATCCTACGTCCAGTAAGACGTAGACAAATACGCGCTCGCACTACAGCATGATCTGAGTCTAAGCATGTGCTCCAGAATGAGCGACAGACTTCTATCGAGCCCCTCCATCGGTGGCTGATAACGATGTGATCTATTTGGGTCCAGCGTTGGGACGAATTAGGGGTCTCCATGCTAAAAGATGTTTTTCCTTATGTTTAAAGTTAGTGTTTGCAAGAAACAGGCAGTTATCTAAGCATAGCTGCAACAGACGGTCACCGTTATCTGTTCTTTGAGCTGCGACACCATAAGATCCACCCAGGTGTCTCTCTCTTTCGCATAGTTTACCTACTTGAGCATTAAAGTCACCAGCCACTATTACTACATCTAAACGCCTAGCTTTTCGGAGAAAGTCAAAAAGCTTTCTGTGAAACTCATCTTTTACATTATCTGAGCTGCAGTCAGTGGAAGAGTAGGCAGAGACGACGAAGATGCAACGACGAGTGTCCCTATCTTTCCGAGTCCTTACTGTTCCGTTTAGTCGGACAGTGCACAAACGACTGTCTACTGGGATCCAGTCTGAGAGAGCTGGTTCCGCCCTAAAACTCAATGCTATACCTACACCTAATATATGTCTTTCAGAACAGCAATTAAAACAACCACATGTCGGATTACTTACCTGTTTTCAGTATTATATTCGGTTGAAACTACGTTTAGTGCTCCACACCATTCGCATAACCATAGTTTACACATGTCCTAACTCCATTTTTAACAGTGCCGTCACCAAAACAATCATGGCGTTGAAGACGGTTCGCTAATTCATTGGCCTTTAAGAGACAACGTTTACGTTGATAAATTTCATTCATTGTATCTGAATCTGCTTTGACTAAGTGTTTTTCAGCATTAGTAAGTTTATTTAAGTCCTAAATAAAATATTGAGCAATGGATCAATAAAATGAAATATCAGGATACCAATTTAATGACTTCTTAAAAGAATATTTCATAATACAATAAACTGTCGAGTACTCAAAGTATTTACAACTCTTATTCATTCAACTATCACTAATGTATACCATAATTTGTGGGACAGATTTGCTACAGTACAATGAAAGTTAAATTGACGTTCAGTATACGCACTAATAAGGTGACGCGCTTCCACAAACAATCACAGAGGATAGTTTACTGGATAAAAAAAAATTAGTTTAGATCCCTTTTATTTTATATAAAATAGTTGTGATATATATCACAACTATATGAACTCAATCGGAATGTAAAGGTTTCGACGAGTATGAAAATATGAAAACTGTAAATTACCTCTTCCGAAGTTTCACATCGTATGGGATTCTTAATTGCAGCACTGATTACATCAGTGAATTTTCGGAAATATGCCAAATCCTTCGGTTGCACAACCAGCAATTCAACGTCAGATCGTTCTTTGATAACTTTCACGACATCCGTGTGCGAAAGACGCTCTAATTAGTTAACAATAAGTCTGCACTTCTACTTGCCTACAGTTTTGTTATTCACCATTAAAATTATATCTTCATTGAGTAGACCTCCTGATTCACTGGGTGAAAGAGGTTCAACGTTTTCAACTTTGTGTTCATGTTTGAAAGAGTCTGTTCTCAAACTGAAGCCATATCCACTAAAATTCGGCCACAATTTTAAATGACAAAGTCTTGCTCTGTGGTACTGACTTTCCGCGGATTCCTTCATTTTAAAAAAGTATCATAACTCAGTATTATTAAAGGAAGTAGCTAAACAAACATTGCAGTAATGAAAAATAATTCTCAGTTGGTGATATTTAGAAGACAAATTAAAAACAACCTCTTTTTAAGCGGCATTTGACGAGTTGTTCTCAGTATTCCAATATCTACTCAGGGTTTTCGGTAGACATCAAATCTGAAATAATTTTACACTGTGTTGTATGTTTTAAGAGCAGTGTACTGGCAAAATCAAAGGCGCTTTTGAGATATGAATGGATTAAGTCGTTTTAAATTGATTTCGTGATGATCTGGAAAAATCTTGTCAACTTAATAATTATCCATTAGGATTTTAGTGGCAAACAAATAGCTCTTAATGCTTCTGACAGTGATGCTGACCCTACCAGTTTTACTAAATACACTCCTACCCGAGATTATTTGGTCTAATACTCTCGCCCGGTCTCATCTGGTTACCCGACTAGTTAGCTTATATTATATGTACTACGATACTTCAACCTATTATCCGAATAGACATTAAATTTGAATCACACCATTAGAAGCTACGAAGGGCAGAGTTGTCAAAGGCTATGTAGCCTTGACTTCTTTAGGATGGATAATGGATGGACCATAAGTGGCATGTATCGCTGTACATTCAGCATTTTTTAACAAAATAAACCATAAAAGTTTAATAATATGTTCCATTCCACATGACTTTTAAAGTGTATAAATTTTGCATTTTCTGATTAACATTTCAGTCACTTATCATCTGAAAATATGTTAATTGTTCCTAGCTGTAAGTTTACTAAAAGTGGTTTTATATATACGTGACCTATGTCGAGGATAAGGACCTAAGTGTCTTGAATTTGATATAAGTGTCGGCTGATCTTAAGCCGACCTTAAGAAGCCGATCTTAAATATGTTCTGCCATTCGGCTTTTATATCCATTAAACGTTGTTGTAATAAGTCATATGCTTCCCGTGTGTAAAGTCTGTAAGACTGGTAGATAAGTAGTCAAAATACTGGACATCATCAATACTGGCTTCTACACTATAACCGATTGACTTTGGAGTAAATATGTGAGATTCGTTCACTGTTCTCCAGGCTAACATCTTAGGACTTCATCATATGCACTTTCCTGCAATTTTCAGACACTAATTTTCCTATTAGTTCACTAAAGTTAAGAGAATATATGGAGATGTTATTCGAGATGCGGTAATTTATAAACAGTGAAATTGACTGATGAAAAATCTTGTGAGAAATTCATTTCAGAAGCAGACTAATGTTCCATTGAGGAGGGTTTGTAGTGGCATTGGGCCCTACCACGAGACAATATGGGAAATAGACATTCATCATTTAACGCGAAGGACAGAAGAATGGAGAAGACGGGGATAATGAATTGAATAAATCGGAGTCCATCGTATGGAATGGCTCGGCCATGCAGGTGTGGTCCCTGCTAAATGTTACGTTACATCTTTTAGTCATATTAAATATATTGTTGCATCTCTAGCCTAAGATTGTTCTATATCATGTATTGGTAATTGTTACGACGCAGTGAGTTGGTGTATATGATGATGTGACTTCCACGATTAGGTCTATTATTACAGCAGTGCTAATATCATAGTAGACCATAATTCTACAGGTTCAAGTAAATCAGTAAAAGTGATACTTTCCTTCAATGAGCTAATTTTATGTTTGACAGCCTGTTAAATGTTATAACTACCAAATTTAACTCTGAATCAACCATCCTGAGCATTGGTCTTTACACTATTACCAACCTGTTGATAGAAAAATCGAAGCATGAGCAAATAATAAACTGACTGCTTCACCTGAGCAGAGAGAATATCGACTCCAAAGAGTTCAGAATAAAATCCTTCAGGTATTACGTAAAAATCGTGTTTCGTAAGTCTCTTTAGATAAACAAAACTGTAAGAGCCGTAAAAATTGCTTTAGATATGCTATGTTCTAACAGGAGGGAAAAACAGACAGCAAGTGTCGCCTAACAGACACTACGACAACCCTACAGGATTTCAAAGTACACTACGAATCCGAATCGAGAAAATAAACCATTATTGCGGTAAGATTCAACGGTGGAATAAGTTTTGCGCAGAAATATGCTAAAGTGATGAGTCTCAAATAATTGCAAAGATTAATTAGATATCGATATGCCTGAATAATAAATAATTGGTAAAAATGAAATGAATATGAAAATGTTAACTTATTGAAACGTTCCACAAAATATTGTCTTAATTACAAACTTCGGGTGCTTACTAGTAATATTTTTCAGGAGGAAAAACGTGAGAGAGAAGAGAAATGAACAACTCTTGAAAGGTTTCAACCTTTATAATAAGAGTGTGATGAATATCTACCTCTGAGATAAAACATTAATATCCTTAATTTTTTAGTGCACTCTGGTGTGTATTTACAAATTGATGTAATAGGAATCAGAGTAAATCTTTATATTAGCATAAACTTTTGTGCAATAATAACTTAGAATGATGTTATGAAAGTCACGATTAATTGCAAAGACTAATAAAATATTAATTTCTATGTGTTTTTTCACAACTAAGGTCTCAATTCCACTAGTAATGAGTATTGTCTGTCTTGCCTGTCGTCCTTCTCTTTAGCCTTCTGTGGGATTATGGTCAAATTCTACATTAGTTTAGCGATGTTTCCTGTTTTAGTGATAAACTTAACTGAAAAATTGTAATGACTTGTCCTACATGAGAGTCAGTAGTATGAATTCAAGCACTTCTGAAGAACACATTCGGCATGAAAAGCAGGAGATTATATAAAGTGACCACGCCTGAATGACCAAGCCATGCCAAATAGATCACCTATCCCTGAGTTTAAAATTACTGACCTTCTCTCGGTGTTAAATTTAGAGTGTGAACATTCTGCTGTCTTCTGCTCATCTTTGAGTATCATGTGATTAGAATCAATACTACCACCTCTGTTTCGTAGAAGCCAGTCAACGTTGTTACCCGGAAGTGCTATCAAGAAGTGCAAAATAACACGTTAAATTTGACATTTTTAACTGACTGATTAAATGTTTTCCGCCCCACGTTCCGTTGTAAACAGATCTGAATTTTGCTTGCATTTATTTTTCATCTCCTGTTGCTCGTTACAACATGTGACCAATGTATCTTCTGATATATCAACTTAACCGAATGCCTAATTGCGGTAAATTCTGTAGCATTAGCAACAACTTGAACTTGTATATCAACTGACATACCTCGTTTAACTTCTTGTCATTTCAGAATTAGTTATGATTATTGTAACTATATTTAGACACTTAATATTAAATTGGACTCGGGAGGCAAGCATCCAACATGTAGCCACTCACACTCATGTTTGTGGGATACTGGAGTACAAAGATCGCTAAATGGTAAGGCCATTATTATATCGTAATTTGACGTCTTTATGACACGTACCCATCCATAACAAAGAAATTCCAATATGATCCTTAAAACACAGTATATTTTGTAGTATTCTTCTGATTAGTCCGCCTATACGGTGTATATATACTCATTTAACCTGTCTTTCTGACGTTAACAAACTGATAATATAAATCAAATACAACTCTTATAAAGGCAGTGATGTGGCACTCTGTCGTAACCAAATCGTACGCTAAATGGTTGGCGAAATAATGGACAATCTACCGATCTTCATCAGAGCCAAAGGTAACTGACGTTAGTCAATCAATTTCTTGCCACGAACAGGCACGTGTGCCAGTTGTCCCATTCCGTTTCATGTCTCTGGTCTGACTACTACAGTTCTGAGACATCGTTATGTTTACGTCAGATAGCTTAACTACCTAGTCTTCGTGTTGTCTTTTCCAGCTATCTAATTATTCGTGGATGAGTCAAGGTTAAAATATCGAATTGAGCCAAATCAATGTGCATTCCGAAGTTAATGTACTCTTGTGTAGCAGGTCAGTGAACGAACCATTTCTCCACAACTTACACCTTCAACTGTTACACTATCAATACTCAACAGAACGGTCTGCGCAACTGTCAGTATGTGTAATATCGACGTTATTTCGATGGGATACTATGACACCTCCGAACTGCTCTAATTATTCAACTTTGACGTCGTGCTTTCTGCAACTTGTTAAATGTTGTTTCCTCGTGGCTGTTGTCTAACACATACCTTCACAACATCATTCGGCTGCTCAAATACTGGACAATTTAAAACAGGTAAGATTATATCTCAGTACCACAAGAGAGGCCTGATAACGCTATTAGGAAGTAGGCTGAATATTCCACTCTTATACTAGCTAGAAATAAATTTTAACGTAACATGTGCAATGTTGGCTCGAATGGTGATTTTAGTTAGAGCTAGTGTAAGACTTCGAATCATGAGTTATCAAAACTGCCAGATCATTTCTGGCTTTTTACATCTCTGGAAGACAACTTTTGAGATCGACTGAGTAGTTCGTATCTGTCTCAAATGGATTAAGTTAATGTTTGAAGTACTGAAAAAGACACTTTGTCATACTTTAGTCTTCAGCGTTTAGTAATAAGGATAGTAGGTTGGTGAACCTGTGTTAATCCTAACAGGTTGCCTTCCATTGAAGGTCCAGTTACTCCTTGAAAATATTCGTTGATGGGGCTGATACCGCTTGTTCGGGCGAAGCGTTCCAATCATTGACTACTCGATGAGAAAAACGGAACCCCATCTTGAGTTTATCAGATCGTGGTTTATGACTTCGGAGAGTATTAGTGCTGGAAGGAGCCGAAAGATAAGACATATTAACACCTAAATCATAATTAAAGATACGAAATGCCAGTATAAGCTCACCTCGAGTCCTACGATACGACAAGAGGAAAAGGTTTAGGCGTTTTAAACGCTCATCGTGAGGGAGTTTAGAAAGACCCCTCACTAATTTCATTCCCACACGCTGGACACGCTCAAGTGAGGTAGTATCCTTTATCAGACATGGGCTAGCTGCTTGAATACAGTACTCTAAATGTGGTCTTACATAGGTGGGATATAAAATGAGAAACATTTCCTCGTCAAAAGATTTGAACGCTCGGCAAAGTGACCATAACGCACGAAAACCTTTGACAGCGGCTGCGTTGCAATGCGTAGTTGTTTTTAGGTCATGACTTATCATTACTCCTAAGTCTTTATGTTCTTGAACGCATGGAAGAAATTCACCATCAATAGTATAATAGTAACTATTGCCGTGACCGTTGTACATTAGCACACTCTTCCTAGAATTGACTTCTAAGCCTCAACCTCGAGCCCATCTAACTAAATCGTCTAAGTCGCCTTAAGATCCAGATGATCAGCCTCACTTCTGACTGCTCTCCAGATTTTGACATCATCCGCAAATAATAATGTCGACGACCTAAGCAACAGCGGTAACCCATTTACGTAGAGAAGGAATAGCAGAGGGCCTAAGATGGTGCCTTGGGGTACACCACTTTTGACCGGCTTCCAATCGGATAGCGTCCCATTGACCCTAACTCTCTGTCTGCGGTCACATAAGAAGTTTCCTATCCACTCCTGTACAGCACCTATTATTCCGAAGCTTGTGAGCTTCTGCATAAGACCTAAGTGTGAAACCTTGTCAAATGCTTTGCTAAAATCTATGAAAATCACATCGACAGACAGACCTTTATCTAAGGCTGCTGTCCAAACCTCTCTCGCAATAAGTAAGTTAGTGAAGCATGAACGCTTGTCACGAAATCCGTGTTGCTCAGGAGCTAACATTGTGTGAATCTATGTGGCTTAGCAACCTAACTCGAATTATCTTTTCAAGTAACTTAACGACTATGCTACTCAGACTGACATGCCGGTGTTAGATATGATCTGTCTCTGACCATCCTTAAATTTAGGACTGACTAGCATTTTTCCAATCCCTAGGGAGTTGAGCGAGTGAAAGGGACATGTTGAAGAGTGTAGCGAGCGGTTTTGAAATAATGTCCGCAAGAGATGACAGCAGTCATGGATGTAACCCATCAGGATCCGGTATCTTACAAGGTTCGATGTTAATTATTAACGGAAGGACAGTTTCTTCAGTCACCTGTACAGATTTAATGGCCGGTATCTCGGTGTGATTGGGACAAGTATTTCTTACAATATACGTAGAGTAGACTTCGCTAAAGTAGTTTGAAAATGTCTCAGCTTCGGCCTGATCTGATTCAGCTAGTAAATCTGAATTATCGTGTAACAATAACCGGGGAATACTATCACTACGTTTTATTCGCCGTTTAACATACGAAAACAATCGTTTTGGACAAGTACGGCTATCATATACCAACTGTCGTTCGTAAGCAGCACGGGATTTAGCTATGGTTTTCTTACAAATATTCCGGAGTATTTGATACGCTTAAATGATGCATGACGTGTCAACAAGAATAAGTCCCAGAAGTGTTTCCTACGCTTTAACAGCTTACGGGTTTTCTTAATAATCCATAGAGGGCAATGCGATAGCTCACATGCTGACCATGGGATAAACGGCGACGTTACGGACTCGAATGTGGCCTTAAACTTAATCCATTCGTCTTCGATCGATCCATCTGCGTCAACCGACCAATCAGTCGAGATAGCACAGTTTCTGATTGCCGGAATATTAGCCCGCCAGATATTGGGACGGGGTGGAGCAGGTACAAATCGTATACCACGTGTCCTAAACCCAAAGTGAAGTACAACGTGATCACTGTTCACTAGTGGAGGAAGGTGCTGAATATCAAAGACATCCTCACAGTGGTGGGTGAGGGTGAGGTCCAGCAGTGACGGATCACGTTTCAGATCAATATGTGTCGGTTTAGTGATACATTGGACAAGTGCACACTGAATAACTGTTGATAAAAGGTCGCTATCGAAACCTCCACCTGGAACTGTAAGCTCTTTCCAGCTTATATGCGGTGCGTTGAAGTCCCCAATGATGAGGCAACATTCTGCCATACTCGAGATTGATTGTATGCAAAAGTGGTCCCTAATGTATAACATTATGCCTCCCTCCTTGCGACTTAAAACTCCATCACTTCTAATACAGAAATAGACTGCAATGATGGGAGAACATTCTATATCTACGGTGAACCAAGTTTCTGTAGTGATAGTTATATCGGGACTTAATTCATCCACCATCAGACTTAGCTCGGACATTTTATTTCTAAGACTACGGGTGTTCGTGTGGCACACACTTAAGGTGTTTTGGTAATCATTCGTCCTACCCATATCTCTTTCCTCAAAACTCCCGAGAACCAGCTTCAAGATCCTTCTTGGTTGGGTCTCGCCTCCAACCCATCTACCGAGTCGTATCACTTTCGTGATGTGTACTCCTGAAACCTCTTCAGGTAGTACGTTTCGTACCACGGATTCTACTAAATTTTGATCATGTGCATGTCTCTAAACAGGGTCGTTGTTTATCGACTCTTCTAAATTCCAAATAATTAAGCTAGGGAGTGGTTTAGCTTCTTTTGGAATCGTGTTTACAGCTATAGATCGTGACCTTACATCCTGTATATTAACTACTGGTTTCTTACGATTAGTTTTTATTGTAACAGAGTCATTGGAGTCGAGCAAGTGACTCACAAGAATGTTTGAAGATGCTTTATTTGGGACTTTGGCGGAGTGGTCGGAGAGTTCACCAAAGACTTATCAAGTAAACGGTCATTAGTTTTAGCTGTCTTTCCTACTCTTCTGCGTTTCCGCGTCATCCGTATTCCATCAGTCGTAGCATCTACATCAGAACAGCTCGTGACAGTAATTGTTTTATCTGGATCACCAGTTGCTGCTGTAGCAACATGGCCACCAATAACTAGTGAGGTGTCACTCTTTGATTGTTTCGGGGTGAAAATTTTGATCTCTGGTTGCACAGTTAGATGTCTGACTTGCGCCGTGACAGCACTTACGACACTAACGCAATCTTCGCCATCAGCACCAATATTGCCAGTACAGCCCTCGTCAACCTTCTTGTTAGCCAGCACCAGGAGGCTAATGGCTTCCTGGATGAGTGCTGTTTTGCTTGAGCAATCAAAACTACAAAGCCAATGAGAGTTGGGCTTCGAGCACCCTTTATATGAAGCGGGGCTTAGTCGGGTGCACGTCTTGTGGAACCACTTCTTACACTCATCACATTGCATCCCTTTCTTTACGGGTAATAAGCAATATGGTTGTCCACATCTATGAGCCGATTTGGCCATCTTGAAAACCAAATACAATGGTGATACAAACAGGATATGTAAAAGAATACTAAAACCTCGAAATAAATGATGAAATATAATCACAGAAAATGGATATTGGGAGGATCATATACTACTTCAGTCATCATAATGTTGATTTTGATTATTCTTGTTTGGTCGTACCAATATATTCTGTAACTAAAATAATTAATGGTGATATTTCAAATGACCTCAAAATCCGATAGGTTAGAAATTTATTCATTCTGACACACGTTATAGTAATAAAGCTTCACATGATCTTTCAAGTGAACACATCGATAACAAGCAAAGCGAAAATGCCCATTGCATACAGCTTATGGGTCGAAAACAGGAAGTCACAGAAAGCTTGCAAAACAACAACATAGATGCTTGCATTCTCCCACAGCTCACAAGATCTGACATAGACCGGTAAGAAACTTCAGTGTGAGTGAACAATTGAAAACATCAATTTTGCAGTGTGCGATTAATTAATGGTGATAATCTATGTGTTATGCTTTGTTTTAAAAGTGCTTTTATTGAATTATACTTCGAAAATGCATTATAATCCTCGACAAAATATAGTTATCTGTTTAAAATATAACCAGTTTAATCTTCTAGCTGAGGTTTTCTAGGGACTTATTTGGTTAATGTATCTGCACGTAAATTATATCCTACAGAACCTTATTAGAAGGTCCTGTCAGATGATTGAATGCAAATGGAAGAAATATTAAAAAACACAGTTATAGTAAGACCGCTGCTCAGTACATAATAAAATGGTATCAAATTATTCTTTGAACCATGTTAAGATAAGACAATTAAGTTAAAGCGTTTCAGTTTGTCTTCATACAAAAGTGAGAAAGACCTTACAACAGTTTAGTCTCTTTGCAGTTGAACTATTCCACCATATCTCTTTTTGATTTGGAACAAGGCCTCTGTACACAAATCCCATATTTTAAATATAGTCTCACGTGAGTCAATTATTATATTTTGTATATATCATCGCCCACGTTCAGAAACGCTTGTTGAACTGTAGATAAGATCCGTGAGTTTTTGGAAGCGCTCATCTTACAGTTACATGTAAGTCAAAGGTGATTGCCTACTGTGACTCTTAGGTTCTTATAACTAATAACCTCGAGTATAGACATTCCTTTAATTGTGAATTAGTTAAAAAAAAGCCCGGATGATTTTTCCATTTCGTGTTAATTATTTACATGAGTTAAGAAAAAAGAGTCTAGGATTTTCCATTAGAAACTCGAATGAACACAGATTTCTAAAAAATTAGTCTTTTTGCCTTTACATATTGCTTTTTCTCAATGAGACAGCCAGTAATACAACCTTGAAATGATTAAAATCTCATTAAGAACTGTGTAATTGCCTTATTTTATTCTGAAACTCCCTGATATTAGATACTTTTTAATAGCTCATGTGTCAGTGTTAAATTATTAGTATAGATGTTAGTGAAGATTGTTGAAAGTTATTGAAATCACCAGTCAATCTAGGTTGAAAGAGCATTGAAAACAAGAAAGAACCAGACAACTGTCCCATCTCTTTAAGATAACAATAATCAAATGCTCACTATTGACTAGTTCTGCGAGAAACGTTTTGGAGTTATCGTAGGAAGCCACAACCAGTGGGGTCTAAAGGTAATGTGTTTGAGATAGTTTCCCTACAACATCATTTAAAGATGGCTGAGCGATATTATAAAGTAGTTAAAGTCAGAGATGTACACCACTATATCAGTGGTCTAGCGGATGAAAGTTCGTGAGCAAGACCTGTCGAACTTGGGTTTCATTCCTGATTCAATTATCGATTTGTATTTTTAGGAAGTTCGTTCCTAGGACGAAAGCGCAAATAAGTCTAAATTCATGTTTGTTTTATCTTTTCGGTTAGCGTTTGTTTAGCGAGTTAGTTTTCTATGGTATAAGGTTGTTAACCCCATGCTCAACCTTCCTCCTTTTTTCCGGGCTTAAAACCGGAAGTAGCCCAAGAGAGGCTCCTGGCGGAATTATGTTTGTCTTAATTTCAACTGAAATTTAATCCTTGTTTTAGATTATTAACGTGTATATGTTCTTCACTTATAAATACGTATATTAATATTTCATTCAAGGTATCGTTTAAAATTTCATGAAAATCTATTACTTAATATTTTACAAAATGGTTATCATAAAACATATTCAGAATTATTCAATTTAATTGATTATGAAAAGAAACAACGTATTAATGCAGGAATTTCATCATCACCATATTGGACTATTCAACCATTAACTGAACGACATCAATTACTTTATGAAATGATGATACATTTAATAAATGCAGAGAATTTTAATCATTCTAATCAAATTGATGAAGTCTATAAAGAGAATTTATTCTTGGCTGGATTATTTCAATCCAATATTAATGATCATTGGTTATTAGATATTTATTTACAAAAATGTTTAAAAATTATAAATAAAGGTTATCTTTCTATCAAAAATATGATAAAAATTAAATTACAAATGAATAATATTGATAAAATACAATTAGATCATTTAAATGAAATAAAACAAACACTTAAAAAGCGATTATTTGAAGCAATTTATCATAATGCTACATATTTATTTGATACAGGTAAAGTATATACATTTTTATTGATAGATTAATAACCTGAAAGCATTAAACAACCGTTTCATTCTAGTGTAGGACCTCTCAGCAGTGCGCATCAATGATCCCGAACACAAGATTCGAACTCAAGACTTCCGATGTTGCGCATGAATGCTTAACCCCTGAATCATTGAGCTGGCATTCAACGATGTTAATGTTTCATTTCTTGCAGTTCTAATGACTAGATGTAATCAGTGGAGTCAAACCTTATCTGTTGTGAGGTAGTTACTTATTGAAGACAATGTTGGAAGGTGGCGTAATATCGTAGAGTAGTGGTCTGGAGGTTAAGCGTTTTGCGCTTCAGACCAAAGATCCTGGATAAGAATCCCCCGTGAAGGATCGTGGATGCTCCCTGCTAAGTAATCCTATACTAAGACGAATTGGTCGTCTTATGTTACCAGGGTTGTCTAGCTGAAATCAACTCATGAATTCAGCGATTAAATTACTACGATTTCCAAAATCCCTAATTCTAAATATAAAAAGTTGAACAGATTAATAACTAATGAGTAAATAGACAGAATTATGAACGTTAACTTTCATATATGTTAATGTAAACAATCAATAATTAGGGATTTACTACTGTAAACGTTTAGTGCATTAAAGATGAATATAAAATGAAGAAACTTCAATTGATATTTTTCGATAAAAACATTAGACATTCAACTATTGGTGGGTTATTCTTACATCGTCTTTAAATATGTTAACGTTATGTTCACTAGTAAACGTGGATAATAATGCTAGTAACAAACGAACTTTAGTAAAATGCTAGAGCTCATTCGTTAACAGAGATTGATTAGTTAAAGTTTTCAGTATCCATAAAAGGAAAATGTCTACCAGTAATTAAAAAATTGTTGAACAGATTTATAGCTATTTGGATTTGGTAACAAAAGGTATTGAGTTTGTCCTTATGTGAAGATCAAGATTGGAATGTTGAAGCATCTAGCTGACTAATTTTAGATGGGATAAAACGCGCATTTTGAATTGTCGATAGATGGTCCTATGATTTAGGCATTCAATTTCAAGCCGCTAAACTTCAGGTCATAACCCTGCTAAGTCTTATCCGGTATGGGATATCGGGTAGTATTACTTGTCATCACACATAGTGTGTATCTCGACCGAAATATACGAACTTTTGCCTGGTAAATGAGTTAGTCAATAAAAATGTAAATGGATCCAACCACGTACTCATTTAAAAGATTAGTTTAGTGAATTCTACTGTTAGCTACAAATCATCTATTCTAGGCAAACTCAATTAAATACCTATATTAAGGTCAATAAAGGCTAATCAATTGTGGTCCTTAACGTCAACTATGAGATTGTACAAACCCTTACAAAATTATGTTTTACTTCTACTAGTTCTACTCCAAATGTCAAGTTTTCTCTACAATTTGTCATTCAGTGTTAGCGATGATGAATTTTGTGCTAGTTGCCGTTAACGATATAAGAAACGGAACTGGTCGTAGTAGAATAGGTTAATCCTTCATAATGCGGCCAGTATTGTGCAGTAATGATAAACCCCATATATCATAATATAACATATATATTGACTTAATTTAGGACGATACATTATTAATGATAATGTGTAAGTTGAACATTAACTCTCAAAAGACCAAACTTCGTCTTCACTACTGTGTATATATGATAAAAACAGCTGCAGTATTACTTTGTTCAATTACTAACTAATAATAAACGTATATTCAACCAATATCAAAGTGGGAATCCTCAATACCAACGTCAAGATAGTTCTACTGTACGGAACTGAAACTTGGACAACTACTACAACCATCATCAAGAATGTACAAGTATTTATAAATAGTGGTCTATGCAAGATACTCAATACCCTTAGGCCAGATACAATCAGCAACAGCCTACTGTGAAAGAGAACAAACCAGCTTCCTGCTAAAGAGGAAATTAGGTAAAGATGATGGAAATGGATAGGATATACAATACGCAAATCACCTAAGTGCACCACAAGGCAAGCCCTAACTTGGAATCCTGAAGGAAAGCGGAAAAGAGGAACACCAAAGAACATATTACGTCGGGAACTAAAAGCAAATATGAAAATGATGAATAGCAACTGTAAAGATCTGGAAACACTACCCAATATACGATTGGATAGCAAATGCTATTATGTAGTCTATGCCCCTCCACGAGGGGTAACAGGCGTAAGTAAGTAAGTAAGTAATAAACTTATGTAATCTTCCCAGATGTTCAATAAATAAACAACACCCCCTTAAAATTCACAATTTCATACATGACAACAGATTTGATCTTCTAATAAACCTTAAAAAAAACTTGTTACTACACTCTAAACTTTGTTTCTTTTTCCTTGTTTTTTCTTTATCCTCACTTACCTTCAGGAAAATACTCACAATCATTAGAATTATATAAAAAATTACAAAAAAAATTAGAAAAACATAAAAATATTTTACAACCATTAATCAATCCATTTGATAAACAACAAAACAATATACCATTGTATATTGTATGCTATGAACAAATCTGTCGAATAATTTTAACAATTTATCAACCAAATAAAGAATATCAAATGGATGAATTATTGGCACATTTAAATGAAGCATTGAAATATGCTGAAAAATGTAAGTTTCATTAGTGTTTATTGAATGAATGTATGATGGTGTGAGATATACATCTACTAATCAAAGGATGGGTTTACTGCTTAGTAGATCGGTTCCGTCCTACTTTATGGCAGTGAAACATGGCTGGTAAGAGTAGAGAATATTCGTAGGTTACTAGTATTTGATCATAGGTATCTTCGAAGCATTGCTCGTATATCCTTAAACCACCAAGTAAGTAATGCAGTTGTTAGAAAATGGGTACTAGGTAAGGATGGCAAATCAATTGATGAAGTAGTGAAACTTCATCAGTTGAGATGGCTGAGACATGTGTTACATATGCCGAACCACCGACTGCCCCGACGTCATATGTTTTATAATATAGGATAGTGTAGACTGGAAGAAAGCTAGGGGCGGCCAGACCAAAACATGGCATAAATTCATGAAGTCACTGACAAGTGAACTGAGCCATGTTGATAGGTGTAGACGATAGCAACCGATGATTAGAGACCTTGAATGATATGGCTCAAAATCGTTTTCATTGGCCCAGGTGCATCCACTCTGTGTTCTCCCAAATTCTAATCTTATGAATTCTTCATGTCCCATTTCTTTTCTCTTTCCAAATTTATTTCAGTGGATTATACTCCTTGAATAACATCTTCAAACCCTAATCGTTCCGATTACTGCTTATACTCTTACTACCTCTATCACTATGGGATTTGAATCGACAATTGTATCTTTGTGCTAATGTAGTATGAAAACTCGAATTGGTGTATGTACGTACAAAGTTCTACGTTGCTGCTTATTGACTGAATGTAAACAAAATGAATATTGAATAATTTTTTCAAAAAGAAATTCAACGGTATATTTCATCATAGATTAGAGAGATTGATTCGTTTAGATAAAAAGTCTTGAATAAAGCATTCAAAGGGGTTTTTGTGGAAATTATAATAGTAACTTTTAATAGTTGAGAGCATGAGTCAATGGAAGTTAGACTACCATGGAAAATCTGTGAAGCACTGGATACTTTCTATCAAACATCCGAATAGCGATTTTCACTTTAGTAATATAAAATTAATTTTCAAAAGAAAACGTATATTAGAAGGGTTTTTTTGGATATCATAGTAATTTTATTGAGTTGATATCATGAGTCAATTAAAACTAAACCACCATGAAAAATCTGGAAGCACTGGACGACTGTATCGTCCTACTGTGGGACCACTCAACAAAGCACATCCATGATCCAGCCTCGCGAGATAGTAACTCACTAAAAAATGATAATGTATATGTCTCTCAATTTTGTGGATTGGTTGAGGTTAAAATTTAACACTGTTGGATATCAGCTCAGTGGTCTGGATGAGATGTCCTACAATAGAACGAAACGGCTGTCCAATCCTTTCAAGTTTTCCATAGTGGTCTAGCTTCCATTGACTTATAATCTCAACTACAAAATGTATACTTATAAATCTTCACAAAATTACAACAATTGACATGTTCCATTCATTTTTTTTTTCTGCTTTTAGCGGAAAATCAAAAACTTAAAGGATTATGTAATAAACAAATAAGTCAAGTATATCAGGTCCATGAAGAATATGAAATGGCTCATAAAGTATGAATTTACAATAAAATTATGATTATTTCTCTTATGATTAACAAGTTTTGTTTTTGTTTATCAATCATGATTTCTAAAGTAACTTGATACTAAACTTATTTTGTTCATTACAATTTCCACAATTAAATGTATTCCTATCAATCTAAGCACTATAATCATTGTTTTTAAGTGGTTGGAGGTAGTTACCAGGACACTATATCGGGGCTCTATTGTAGTAGGTACCTAAAATAACTAAGGAACTGATATTCCTTGTGGGATTCGAACTCACATCACCCAAATCGACAGTTAGAGACATAAGCACTGAATTGTTTAAAGGATAATTGATCTCCTGAAAGATTAAAATATAAATAATTTGTTGATCATTGTATAATGGTCAACCTTATTTTTTTCTAGTCTCTTCAGTGCTGTGAACACTAAACAATAGGACTCCATATGATACGCACTATAATGACATTTCATGTGGCTAAAACCATTAGTCGTTGTTACATCACACAGAAACGGATTATACAATAGTATGATGCATATATTTTATTGCAAGTGAGTTCATGACTTGTTGGGAATCTATGTAAAATCATATCACTGCAATTTTCTGTACATTAATAATTATAATAGTGTCTAACTGAATGTTTAAAGTTTTCATAATTGATGATATAGTCTTGTTTAGTGAAGACGCTGATAAAATGCAGAGTCTTTTGGTAGCACTGAGCAACAATGCCAGAATGTTTAAGATGCGCTTCTGTCCCTCTAAATGCAAGTTGTTGCTTTAGGACTGCTCTGCGTCAACACCTGAACTAAGGATAGTGGGTGAAGTAGTCGAACGCGTCGACAACTTCACTTATATTGGAAGTCTGATCAGCCCTAATGGGTTGGTGTCTGACAAAATCTCATCACGGATTCGAAATGCTCGTTTGGCTTTCTCCAACTTACGTCACCTATGGCGCAGACGAGATATCCGTCTATCAATAAAAGGACGAGTATACTACTACTACTAACTTCTGGTTTGAGCCATGCTGGTAGATGTAGACTACTTGGTTGGGGTCCGCGTGACTATCGTAACCAATGGTTGGAGACTCCAGCTGAAATAGCTTAGAATCAATCACAATGGCGTAGGTGTATACACTCTTTCTTTAAACTATGAGACTAAAATCGCTTCATATCTTTTTTTCTACGAACTAATTCTTTATTCCTGTACTATATCCTTATATGCAATCTTTCTTTTATATATTACCACCACTGAATTAACTACTTCTATGAATTCGGTGTTCATCTTGTTGTGCTAATGCGGTATGGCAACTTGGACCGATGTCTATATGTGCCTGGTCCTACGTTGCAGCTGACTGACTCATAATTGATTGATCAATGTTCTTTATGTTAGGTCTTACTTAATGCAGATTGTTGAAACAATTGGGTCATGATATAGATACAATTTTTGTTCATTTAAAAAATTAGTGAGAGTCTTGTATACAACGTAGCATCCAGGTGAAAGTTTATCAATTTACCTTTTGAGTGATAGTTTTTATATGAGAGTTTCATATATACTGATATGTATTAGAATAGGTTGCAGTAGAATCGATGAATTTACTCTTGTCTTTACTGGGAACTTGAGTTTTAAAAATTAATTTATACCTTTTAGTTTTACAAGATTGATTAAAACCTGAGCAACTTGACGGTAACGTCTGTGATTGTCACGCTGAGTGCAACGAGTAACGATCAAACATGGAGGGACCCCAGTTTTTTCTAAATCTGAAGATACACGTTTCTAATTTGTGCTAACAAACACAAGAGTTAGGCTCAGTTTTGTCTACCGATTGTTTCCACTCGTAAAATATTTCTGTGATCTTATTTTATAATTATTATGGAACTCATGGAGTTAATTCTTACACAATTCCTGAAACAATTCGTATAAAGTTTTCAAGATATTCATTTTATCAACCTACATTGTATAGATGAACTCATCAATAGTCCTCTGTCACTATAAGTGTCCACTGTGACCGATTGATACGAAGTAACTAAATTAGGAATAAATATTTTTTCAATAGTTGAAATCATGAGTCAATTGAAGTTAAACCACCATGGAAAACCTGGAAGCACCGAACGGCCGTTTCGTCCTAGTACGGGACTCCTCAGCAGTATGCATCCACGATCCAGCCCCGCGAGATTCGAGCCCAGGACCTATCAGTCTCGCGCGTGAGCGCTTAACCATTAGACCACTGAGCCGGCATCCAACGATGTTAATGTCTAACTTCTTTCTATTTTACCTTTCAATTCATGTTAACAAACGATCTAATGAATCTTATTAGATAAGTTGGTCTATTGTTTGATTAATCGGTACAAATTATTAAACGACTTTATCACTGTAATATATATAAAACAGTTAAAACTGTATGTAAAGAGTTGTTATCATTACACCGAATAGTTATACTTTGTATTTACAACCAACTCTATGTTTACTTCTATTCATGAGGCTGACAAGGTGCTAAAACGTGGACTAACAATTGTAATTGTTATTGATTAATGTGATAGTACAAATACATTTTAGTCAAATCTCATTTGAATAGAATAAACACAGATTTAATACATTATAAATCGAATAAGGATTATCTCCACTTCATTCATTAATAGATAAACTTGCATAGTAGTTATATTGTCTCATATATCAGTATTTGTATAGAGATTTGTGGAAATTGTATTTTTCGTGGATGAGCACTGCTGAAGAGTTCCATACTAGGATGAAACGGTCGTTCAATACTTCCAAGTTTCAATGACGACCAAGTATAAATCAACTTGTGATTTCAACTGTAAACATAATTATTTATAATCATAGAAAAAGATAACTAAGTTTTTTTTTGAAATTTTTATAGCTTGCAGAACAATATTTCGATATAGCTGAAAGATCCAATGATATTTTGGAGAAGATTGAAGCATGTAAACTACTGGGGAGTATCAATGAAAAGTAATTCAGCTTTTATTATTATTATTATTATTATTATTATTCATTTATATGTTAACAAGAAAGCAACTCTATTCTTATACTTCGGACTGTTTTCTTTTCAGGGCACTAATAAGAAACTGTAGCTTCAGGAAATTAATCATCTTGGAATTATTATTAACCGATGGTATTAGATAATGTTTTATTTATATTCCAAACTGAGCAAAATTGGCGTTGATGTAAGATTAGCATAAAACTTACCGTAAGATTATGGGTTCGAGTAGCTGAACAATGATACATGTGCACTACTAAGGATGGGCTGACTAGAACAAGAGAGTTGAGATGAACTCTATAACTTGTAATGATTTCAAAGCAGAAATAAATCCATGATGAAAGTTATTTGCAAACTATACAAACTTATGATTTTAGATGGTTGGAGGTTCTTATAATTCTCTCTTATTACAACCCAGTAATTCTCGGATACCAATTCACTTGACGTCCCAAAATCAGAACACGGTTGAACAGGAAAGAGATTATATTCCTTCAAATATCAAGGGGTAGATGGAAGTAAAAAACACAATAGGAAAAACGTTAATGTATTTATAGTTTTTACATGAGATTTCTAGAGTGTTCCAAGTATCGACTAGTGCTAATTGGATAAGAATTAGCTAATCAGCGTGCACCAACGCAGTCATACATTGAGTATGCTTTAATCCAATATATGTCCCGCTAACAGAGGTACTCAACAGTAAACCGTGGTTCGAGGTTTAGTGTTAACTGGCACTCACTAAAATTTTAACCCTACAATCTGAGGGTTACCCAGCTTCTTTTTATGAGATGTTTCCACTGAGAAATTCGGGCTACCAGTGACACCTCCTGCAGAGCTGAGACGTTTCCATTGACTGGTCAATAAGTAATGTCATATTTATTTAGTTCGGACAAACTTTTACAAATCACTTATTTAAGTGAACCACTAATTAAAGGATATTTTCAGCTTGTAAAACTATCGAATCCTATGAGTTACCAAGCATTTCATTGATCATAATTCAAAATATCCGAATAGCTTACCGTAATACTTGCAAAAATATCAAAATTTTAAACCTTTTGTTAGTACATTTGCATCGAATCAATATAATTTTTCCCTATATCTGTGTTTGCCTGTCAGTGTGTGTCTAAATCTTGGTTAGATTTGAACCAACAACGTGAAGAACACCAATGTGATATATTGATCACACATATACTTGTTAAGAGCATTTATATATAAAAATAAAAAGTCAACTAGACTGGAAATGGGGTAAGAGGAGATAAGGATAATAATAATTCAAAACCTAATCACTCTGGATAATAAGTCAACATTACCAGGGTAGGTTTAAGGTAAGAACAAATTGTTTTTTGGAATAGACAAAGGGGGTTTGAATTTTCGTATGGCTAATGCTTCAATAAACCTTAGTATACGCCCTTTTACACTTTTATACAATACCACAAAAGCCGAGTTTAGATCAATCTTATGCCTTGTTTCAATTATATGTTTAGTAATAGAGGATGATGAATGTTTATACTCTGCTCTTATTGGGTCACTTGATTTTATTTCGGCGTGCCTCAGAAGATAGTCAACATCATACAGAATTCCTACGATGGATAAAACTGCAAAATCGTTCATGCGGGACAAGTTGACAAAGTCGTTCGAAGTAAAGACTGGTGTCAGGCAAGGTTGCTTACTCTCACCCTTTCTCTTTCTCCTGGTGATCGATTGGATCATGAAGACGTCAACATCTGAAGGGAAACACGGGATACAGTGGACATCTAGGATGCAGTTGGACGATCTAGACTTCGCAGATGATCTGGCTCTTCTGTCGCATACGCAACAACAAATGCAGGATAAGACGACCAGTGTAGCAGCAGTCTCAGCAGCAGTAGGTCTCATCCTACACAAAGGGGAAAGCAAGATTCTTCGATACAACACAGCATGCACGAGAAGCTTTGGAGCATGTAGAAAACCTTACATATTTGGGCAGCATTATTGATGAACATGGTGGATCTGATGCAGATTTGAAGGCATGGATCGGCAAAGCAAGAGAAGCATATTTACAACTGAAGAACAACTGCAACTCAAAACAACTGTGAACCAACACCAAGGTCAAAATTCTCAATGCAAATGTCAAGACAGTTCTACTGTATGGAGCGGAAACTTGGCAAACTACGAAATCCATCATCCAGAAGATACAGGTGTTTATTAACAGTTGTCTACGCAAAATACTTCGGATCCGTTGGCCGGACACTATAGGCAACAACCTACTATGGGAGAGAACAAATCAGATCCCAGTGGAGGAAGAAGCGCTGGAAATGGATAGGACACACTTTGAGGAAAGCAGCCAACTGTGTCACGAGACAAGCCCTCATATGGAATCCTCAAGGCCAAAGGATAAGAGGAAGACCAAAGAACACATTACGCCGGGAAATAAAAATAGACATGAGAAAAATGAAGAAGAAATGCATGCAACTAGAAAAGAAGGCCCAGGACAGAGTGGGTTGGAGAATAGTGGTCGTCAGCCTATGCTCTATTATGAGTAATAAGCGTAAGTAAGTAAAGTAAGATTTTATATGTTTCTGCCACTATTTTGGTACATGTTCATACACACTCTAATTTTAAGATCACGATTACTCCCCCCTATGTATGTGTGACCACGCACACACACACACACATTTAAATTGGTCAGTCAGTCAGTAACAACATAGAACTTCGTACGTACGTACTTACATCAATTCGAATTGCCATACTACATTAGCACAGAGATGTAGTTATCAATTCAAATCCTTTAGTGGTATAAGTAATGAAAGTATAAACAGTAATAAGAAATATTACAGTTTTGATGATCTTATTCAAAGAGTATAATCCACTGAAATAAATTTGAAAAAAAAAGAAAGAAAAAAAAAACAAACAGAGGATATAAAGAATTCAAAAACTTAGAGTTTGATTGAACGCATAAGGCAGCAGATGAGCACTGTTGAAAAGTCTTACAATAGAACGAAACAAAACATATCAATAAACTAAATCTTATTTATTAATAAAACTATGATTCTCTTTTGTTTTTCTTATTTGTTCTGTTTTTTCTTATTAAGTTTATTTCAACTAGATGAAGCTGAACAAAATTACTTAACTATTATTGAATATACAAAATTATTACATAATAATAATAATAATAATAATAATAATAATAATAATAATAATAATCAAACAGAGAAATTAATTGAAGCATATGAATTATTAGCTAAATTTTATATATTATATACAAGTAAATATGAATTAGCTAAATTCGCTTCTGAAAATGGTTTAAATAATAGTCAATTAAATAAATCATTTATTTATTATAATCAATTGAAATTATGGTATTCTATATCAAAATCTAAATTAATAGAACCATATTATATAAATATGATTATAGCTGCACAAAATAATTCAAATGATATGATAAATTTAATACAATGGAAAGATATACATCATTATCAATTACCAATAATGGATAAAGATTATTTTATAAAAGTAACATGTAAGTTAATGATAATGATTATTATATTTATTTACTTATACTTGTTACTTCAAACAAAGGAGTATAGGCCACTCATCAGCATTCACTATCCATTATTATTATTATTATAAGTGGTTATTTGATTTATTTATTTTAACACATAAGTATAGGTACAGAGAGGCACCAAATACATATGCTCCACACAAATCTCAATTGATAAGTGTGAGGGATGTGATACTGCCCGGGTGCCCAAACCGAAGCAGGTGGTTTTCTTAGGGGGCCACACCCCGAGCCTTCCACCTGAAGATCTGATCCACAAGGCAGTGGAGCATCGTAAGGAGATGCAGTCCCATGGTAGCCGGTGACCAACGATTGGTTCATACGCCATTTGTTCCTTCAGGATACTGGAGCCAGCCCATGTGCACCATTGGTTTGGGGTCCGGTTAAAGCGTCGGACATTCGCTTTTCGTCCTCTCATTTTTGTAAACAACACCCCCGCCACGAGAAGGCAGTGAGTAGGACTTCCCTGGCAGAGGCTATATACGCGTGGCCATGTGAGAGCATTTCGAGAGGGAGAGCGGACTCTCTCCACTCTCGGCCGTACCAGGGCATTTGGGGGCATAAGTGGTTATATTATTTGTGTGATTAGTGTTCTTTTTAGCGAGTTAATTTTCTATGGGATAAGGTCAGTAACCATATGTTCAATCCTGTTAAGTTTGAAGCTATCACAAGTTCACTACATCTGAGAATGAGAACAAACACTCGGTGACCAAACAAATCAATAAGCTAGCTATTTGATACGTCTCAGCTCCGCTCGACGAAACTTGAATTTATGGACGCGTCAATCAAAAGCGTTTTAGATATTTCAAGGTTACGCCGCCAACTTCAGTGTTTAATGTTAACGTACAACGGGTTTACAATGAATTTTGTACAAAACGTGATAATTGAACGGCTATTATAAATAAAACGGCGAGACTATAATTCGTGGACGAATCAATCAGGTATAAGATAATAGATCTCGGATTTTGACGCGAAAGCCTTTCATCCATTTGACTAAATAGATTTCTGGCCTTATGGCTAATGAAAACTCTATATATAATTCCTAATTAAGGCAAATTATGACAATTATTGCGAACGGGTTAGTAAAAGCACCAAAAATACTGACTAAAGTCAAGTACTACAATATATACGGATGATTGGAGAATGTACATACTTCTACATAGGCTTGGTTATGGGAATCGTGTCGTTATCCACAAGCGGCACATTGTGTATTCAACAACCGGAGTGCACATAAACAATATTAAAACCATGTGGTCGAGGCTGAAAGAGTTTTTGAGACTTAATCATGGTTCCAGAGGCCAACTATTCTGTAGACATATGGATGATTTCCCCTACTGCACGCATTACGATTTCAGAACCTCTGAACCTCTTTCTAACCTTGACGAGTTATTGAACCATGAATAAGAAGTGTACCTACTTTATTTCTTTGGTTTTACATAATATATATTTATACTCTACACTTACTGTTTGCTGATTGGCTAATATTCTCAAGGTCAGTTGAGATTCGTTCAAAGGTCGTCCATAAATTATCACATGTTAACTTCATCTGAGAACGACAACAAAGACTTGGTCACCAAAAAAACCAATAAGCTAGCTATTTGATGCATCCCAGCCAAGCTAACTAGAGGAAGAAGTCCAAGCTTCGAATGGGGAAGTATATTCTGCAAACATCCAGAAACGAGTGATAACAACAAACAATTCAAAACGTATATATACAGTACGAAACCATCCTTAGGGAGAGTTACCAAATAGCATACTAAAAGACGCAACGGACCAATAGCATTTAAGATATTTCCCAAGTGGGAAATACGACATGAAGGTGACAAGAGTGCCTTTGGCGCGAAAACAAAGAAATTGAAATTTTCTAAGTAAAATTACAAAATTGGGTCCTTTCCCAAGTGAGTTCTGAGGATCTAAGGTCCCCAACAAACCCTCCTCCTTTACCCGGATTTGGGACCGGTAGGGAATTCTAGAGGAGCTATAGGCGGAATTTTGTGTATTTGTCATTTTTATACTTCTTCGATAATATGGAGTACTTGAAGGAAGATTATTAACATTATTCAGAATTCATACGATGGACTATAATGCCAAATTGTGCATAGAGGATAGCTGACAGATACATTCCAAGTAAGCACCGAAGTCAGACAAGACTGCTTACTCTCCTTCTGTCTTCTAGTGGCTGATTGGATTATGAAGACTTCGACATTTGAGAGAAAACACGGAATCAATTAGATTTGAACTTCGCACATAACCTAACCCTTCTATCCTATACACAGGCTCTGCATCAGTAAGATCCTCAAATACAACATGGAGAATACTAACCCAATCACACTTGATAGAAAAGCCCTGGACGATATGGAATCTTTGACGTACCTGTGAAGCATATTCGATGAACAAGGAGGATCGGATGCAGACGTAAAGTCGACGATTGACAAAGCAAGGGTCACATTCCTACGATTGAAGAATATATGGGACTCAAAACAACTTTCTGCCAGCCAGTCAAGAAAGTTCTATTGTACAAAGCTGTAACGTGGAGAACTACTACAACCATCATCAAAATAGTATAAGTATTTATAAACAATTGTCTATGCAAGATACTCAGGATCCTTTGGTCGGATACCATCAGCAACAGCCTTCTGTGGGAGAGAACAAACCAGCCTCCAACTGAAGAGGAAAGTAAGAAAAGACGTTGCAAGTGAATAGGACATGCATTACAGAAATTACCGAACTGCGTCACGAGACAAGCGCTAACTTGGAATCCTGAAGGGAAGAAGAAAAGCGGAAATCCGAAAAACACACTACGTCGGGAAATGGAAGCAGATATGAAAAGGATGAATAGCAGCCAGGAAGAATTGCTTAGGATAGGTTTGGATGGAGAGTGCTGATGGACGGCATATGCTCCTCCACAAGGGTTACAGAGTATGTAAGTAAGTACACAGGAAGATTTTAATAAACTCTTCTCCTTGTAATAACTATGAATTAAATTGCAACAGTAGGTATGATTACATAGTTGACAATCATCTTGTTTATTCCAAGGAATTACAAAACTTCTTGGTGATATGAAGTTCAATAGAATCGATATTCCAACTAAGAAACGTTTGACTTTGACAAAATGATTACTATCTCACAACTGGAATTCAGTAATTAAATATAAACAGATCCTGAACATCAGTTACAATGAAATTCCCAAATGGTAACTACCAATCTAGCCATATTGTATCATTAGTAATAGATAATTGTAGAATCATGTTCAAACACACATCAAACCAAGTTTTTATATATTTCACTTCAATAAAGTAAAAGACAGCTTTAAAGAGTATGCATCCAAATAAAATAGTAGTATTGTAGTGAACTTGAATACCAGTGGGGAAAACCAAATATATTTCAATACAGCATTACAGAATATCTTAGCAAAATAAATACTAATTGTCTCAGACTATGTCGTTCCTTCAGTTCCATACCAATCACTCTCTGTCCTCGTTCTCTTCGATTTTCTCAACCTACTTCTACCAGGCATTACAATTTCGATTGGTGATACATACTACTTACATCTGTCGACATCAGTGGCACACACCGAAGTTATAGTTAAGCAAACCAAATATAACATATTTTAGTGCATAAAGACTGAACAGCTGTATGTAAAAAGAATTTTATTGTCGAAATGCAACCGTATAACTATGCTATTGAATCAATTTTGTGAATCGTATCCATTTACAGTAAAGATTAATATGATTTATAAGTCAAACTTATTCGAATTAAATTCATTACTGATTTGTTCAAATGTCAGTGTAATTTTTAGTCTACTTATTTATTTGAACATACAAATATTGGTACAAAGGTGCACCGAATAAATATGCGCCACTTAGGTGGCTTGATTTGTGTTTGAGCTATGATATTTCCCGGATGCCCAAACCGAAACAGATGGTTTTATTAGGGGAACACACACGGAACCTTCGACCTAAAGATCTAATCCACAACGCAGTGGAACAACGTCGGGAGATGCAGCCCCATGGTAGCCGGTGACCAACGAGTGGTTCATACGTCATTTTTTCCTTCAGGCTTCTAGAGCCTATATGCACCATTGGTTTGGAATGAGGGTTTTCCAACCCTTCTAGATAGATCCTACGTATCCACCAATTCGGTTACAGAACCGGACATTCTTTTTTCGACCTCTCAATTTCTTAAACAACACCACGAGGAGACAATCTACAGAATATGAGTTTAATTAATTCCGCAAATCATAAGCAACTTAGAATCTGTTATATATATATATATATATATATATATATATATATATATATATGTGTACTTCAATTCAAGTTGTCATATCATATCAATATAATGAGATAAATGATAGAAAAGTAAGGACAGTAATTCATAATGTTAAAATAAATGTATAAATTTCTTTCCAATATTTCAGATGACAGTTTTGCTAAGAAACGAAATGAGATAAATCAATCAAATTCAACTCATATTTTGAACTCCTAATCTATTATTTTCATCATTTATTTTGTATGGTTATTTGAAGAATCTCCACAACAACAACAAAGAAAACAGAATAGAACAGAACAAATTACTTAGATCAAATAATCGATGCATTGAACACATTTTTTTCTCCTTATTCAATTCTAAAAGAGATAGTTTCAAAAACGTTTTTCTGTTTTAATTTTCTTGTTAGTATGAAGACATTTTTTTTCTAAACGTTACGTTAGTCATCATCAACGTAGAATCTGGCATGTATCGGCAATAATCTAAGTTGACACATTGTATTAGCACAGAGATTGATAGTTATCAAGTTATGAACTGATGCTACGTGTTAGCTTGAATATCAGCAATATTTTCCCAGATCACTCCAACGCCAGCCAACATTTGATATTCAGATATGTGATGGTTGAATATATTTATCTCTGTCAACTTAGTTGATAAAGATTTACAGTCTACTCAACATATTGTTAGTCAACCACATAAGGATCCCTCACAAAAGACAATACTTAAAATTTCTTTTTGATTGAGATCCTGAACCGATTGATGTTAGACCACCGTTGGAAACCTGGAAGCACTGGACGGCTGTTTCGTCCTAGTATGGGACGCCTCAGCAGTGCGCATCCACGATCCCGCTCGCGGGATTCCAACGATGGTCTAACATCAATTGGTTAATTGTCTCAATAAAAAAAGTTAATAATCTCCACAACCTCAATACTGATAATTAACATGTGCTCACTAGTGACTAGCTTCGTGAGGGAATCCTCGGAGTTCTAGTGAGAAGCCGTGATCAGTGGAGCTAATCCGTGTCGGGTAGAGACAGGTATCTACCTCAGTACAATGGAAGATGGCTGCGCAATTTTGTGGATTGGTTGGTGTCAGACACTAACACCATTCGATGCCGGCTCAGTGGTCTAAAGGTTAAGCGTTCGCGCGCGAGATCGAAGGTTCTTGGTCCGGATCCCGCATGCTGGATCGTAGATACGCACTGCTAAAAAGTCACATACTAGGACGAAACGGCCGTCCGGCGTTTCCAGATTTTCAATAGTGATCTAACATTGATTAATTCATGATCTCAATCATTACTTAAAATGGCTTCCCTCTTGTTAAATGATATTTTTACATTGTAAATTATTGAAAATAGTTCACAGGATCCCATTGACAGCAGTTTCACAGATGTTTGGGGAAATGTATCTACTGATGTTAGATCACAAATGCTTTGTGGCCTTTGTATCTATAAGATAACCTCCTCGGAGAACTGATATGACCACTTATAGGTTGAACGAACAAGCATACAAATGTGACATTACTTACACCACTGAAACATTGATAATAAGGATATAGGCTGGGTAACTCGATATATTAAATAAACGTTTATACATAAAGTCTTGAAGGTTAATATTACTAACTGTTTGCTCGAAATAACATCAGTTCTTCCGTGATTGAACAATGTGATACAAGCAGGTTTCAAAAGTGAAAACTTAAATCTTGTCATCTCATATGAAAGTGACATACTTAGAGGATTTTGTTTTTAGGTGACTATTAAATGAGAAGAAATTGATACGCATGTGTTTCATGCACAGCCTTCTCAATATCAGTCAATTTTTACTTACCTACCAAGCACAAATTTATGTGCTGGAACTCTCGAGAAATATGTTGTGTGTAAGGACGCAGGTGACATTATTACCATTAGCCGCCAAATAACCTGGTACGGCCGAGAGCGGAGAGAATCAGCTCTCCCTCTCAAAATGCTCTCAATGGCTGCGTGCATACAATCACTGCTAGGGAGGTCCTACTCACTGCTTTCTCGCAGCACTAGTTTTTTACGAAATTGAGAAGACGAAAAGAGATGTCCGGTACTGTAACCGGATCGGTGGATACGGAGAATCCATCTAGAAGAGTTAGAAAACCCTCATTCCAAACCAATGGTGCATATAGGCTCTAGAAGCCTGAAGGAAAAAATGACGTATGAACCAATCGTTGGTCACCGGCTACGATGGGACTGAATCTTCTGACGTTGCTACACTGCCTTGTGGATCAAACCTTCAGGTCGAAGGCTCCGGGTGTGGTCCCCTAATAAAACCATCTGTTTCGGTTTGGGCATCCGGGCAGTATCATAGCCCAAATCAAGTGACTTGTGTGGCGCATATCTATTTGGTCCGTCCTTGTACCAATCCTCATATGTTTAGATAAATAAATAAAAATAAGGCTAGTCAATCACTCAACAACGTAGAACTTCATACGTATGTACATCAGTTCGAGTCGCGATTCCACATTAACATAGACATACAATTTTCGACTCAAATCCCATAGTGGTAGAGGTAGTAAAAGTATAGGCAGCAATCAGAAACATTAGGGTTTCAAGATGTTATTCCAAGGGTATAATCCAGTGAAATAAATTTGCAAAAAGAAAAGAAATGGGACATGAACAATTCAGAAGATTATAATTTGGTAGGACACAAATAATGGATACTTTTATTTATTTTATTTGTTTGAACACATAAATATTGGTACAAGGGGGCATCAGATATATATGCGCCACACAAAACAATGAAAATTTAAAGTAAGGTAAGATTGGCGCAGACCAGGGCATGATCAGATTCCAGATAGGTACTCCAAAAGCAGCGGCAGTCTTGTGCACAACCACGCCAGCGGTAGCTGATCGCGATGTGATCAATCTGTATCCAGGCTTGAGATGTAGAAGGGGGACGCCAGGTGGCCCATCGGCGATGACTGTGCCGAAAGCTAGCGCTAGCCAGAAACAGATTGTGGTCTGTGCATAGTTGCAGTAGACGTTCCCCGTTATCTGTCCTGCGACCAACAAGTCCCCATCGGCCACATAAACGACTCTCTTCTGTGCCTAGACGCCCGACCTGAGCATTCAAGTCTCCAGCTAGTACTACAATATCTGTCGAACGCACTTTCTGGAGAAGAACAGTTAACTGGTGGTAGAACTCATCCTTGATTGCATTCGGGCTGCAATCTGTCGGGGCATAGGCGGAGATGACGAAAAGACATCGTTTCTCACGCCGATTTCTTCTCACTTTGATGGAACTTTCTAATCTAACAGCACATAACCGACTGTTAATGAGGGTCCAGTCGATTAGTGATGCCTTAGCTCTAGCGCTTAGTGCGACACCAACGCCAGTAAGACCAGACGAAGATGCCACAGGGTCCTCGGATAAACGCACATAAAACAAGCTTTTTGAAGCGACAGATGGAGAGCCAATTTGTAGTACTTCACCAGAGTCTTGAATACGGGTCTCGGATAGACAACAAACGTCAATATTAAGACTTTCCAAAGACATAGCCAGCCCTATTTGTTGTCCGAACTGCATAAGTGTGCGAACGTTGAAGGCAGCCAGATTGAATGGTGCACGTGTTTTCAGAAAAACTGCTTCAGTGCTCTTATTCGATGGCAACATACAAGTTTCAACCAGGCAGTGACTCAAGAACGTTTAGATAGAGCCGAATGTCTACCATAGGCGAGCTGCTGTATAAGTCGAAAAATAAGGATGGACAGAGTGGGAATAAAAGAGAGTGAATAAATGACGTAGCAAATAATAAAAATAGTAATGCGAGTCATTTGATTGTTAATCGGAGCGAGAATATTTTCTATAAGTAGACAGTTCACCATGTTTTTGTGTGTGGGCTAACATACTGCCCGGATGCCCAGACCGAATCAAGTGGTTTTATTAGGGGGCCACACTCGGAGCCTTTGACCTGAAGGTCTGATCCGCAAGGCAGTGAAGCATCTTAAGGAGATGCAGTCCCACGGTAGCCGGTGACCAACGATTATTTCATATGCAATTTGTTCCTTCAGGATACTGGAGCCCATGTGAACCATTGATTTGGGATCCAGTTGGAGCGCCGGACATTCGCTTTTCGTCCTCTCATTTTCGTAAACAACAGTAATGCCACGTGAAGGCAGTGAGTAGGACTTCCCTGGTAGGGACTATGTACGCGTGGTCATGTGAGAGCATTTGGAGAGGGAGAGCGGACTCTCCCCACTCTCGGCCATACCAGGGCATTTGGGGGCAACTCATTGCTGGAGTGGGATTCGAACACATGAAAAACTGAATACAAGTCATATGATCTCGCCCCAGAATGCCCTGGTACGGCCGAGAGTAGGGAGAGTCCGCTCACCCTCCTGAAATGCTCTCACATGAACACACGTATATAGCCTCAGCTAGGGAAGTCCTACTCACTGTGTTTTAGTGGCGAGTGTGTTGTACACGAAATCGAGAGGTCGAAAACAGATTGTCCGATACTGTAATCGGATTGGTGGATACGGAGAATCCATCTAGAAGAGTTAGAAAACCCTCATTCCAAACCAATGGTGCATATAGGTACCAGAAGCCTGAAGGAAAAAATAGCGTATTAACCAATCGTTGGTCACTGGCTACCATGGGAGTGTATCTCCTTACGATGCTCCACTGCCTTGTGGATCAGACCTTCAGGTCGAAGGCTTCGAGTGTGGCTCCCTAAGAAAACCAAATGTTTCGGTTTGGGCACCCGGGCAGTATCATAGCCCTTACATATATCAAATGAGATTCGTGTGGTGCATATGTATTTGGTGCCTCCTACCAATATCCATATGTTTAAGTAAGTAGTAAGTAAACATATGATCTTACCATTAAATCCATCTGTTTAACCGAATCGATTATTTGAATATGCAATCTGGTAATGGGAAATCGAGTATCACCTATTAATTCACTTTAATAATAATAATAATAATAATAATAATAATAATAATAATATCTTCTATAAATTCTATTGAATTATATGTCCAATAATATCATTAGGTAATAAAGGATCTAATTAATTGTATTTCTATTAGATAATATTTACACTTTATAAATCAATCTCAAAATCTTCACTTTTTAAATTCCTTTTTAAAATATTCTCATTATCTGTCATTAGTATATTAAAACCAAATGAGATAATATCATCATCATCATCATCATCATCATCATCAGTATTATTCTTATCTTGATTATCCATTGAATATTGAATATTCTGTATTGTATTATTGAATGTATTCATAGATATTGATAAATCATTCTTTGAAATATTCAATGAATTAGAAGATAAATGTTTATTCCATAATGGTTTATTCATATTTATATCATTATTATTATGACTATTATTGAAGTTTTGATTGTCAG